GGAGGCGGCCACTGCATAGGGATGAGCTGTCGTCCGGGGGCCACCGGCACAGAGCATCATTGTCTGATCACCAGCGGAGCCCGCCAGCCCGGGCGAGGAAGGCAGAGGGTGACCGGAACCAGACCTGTCCTCACGCCCTGTGCGGTGCCCTGGTTTGAGGGTCATGCACGGTGCGGGCCACGTCTCCCCCCACCCCGCCATCACTCGCCAGCTTGGTGGTCAACCTCATCCTCACCCAGGTCATTATGTGAACCTCACCTTTCCCCCAACCTCTGTGTAGTGGTCACTTCACACTGACCCGACAGGCTCTCTCTCAGGTGTCAAAAATAAAACAAAAGAAAAAAACCACTCAAACTCCTGGCTATCAAGTGCCCACTCACAGGGACCCTAGAGGACAGGGTTGGTTTTCCCAGATTGGAACTCTGTATGGAAGTAGAAAGCCCCTCTCTCTTCCATGGAGCAGTGGGTGGGCTTGAACTGCAGACCCTGGGCTTAGCAGCCCAATGTGTAACCCCTGCACCTAGGCCTGCCTGAGGTCAAGTCCCTTCCCGAGCACCCAGGGAAAGACATAAGGCTTTCCCAGCACTTGCCCTTGCAGGGCACGAGGACACTGCTGGCTCTGTCAGGACCGCCGGTCTTTCTCTGCCTCCCACCACTGTCTTCCTGGGATGTAGGCCCATCATGGCAGGACTGAAGTCAACACTGGTCTCCAACAGGGCGGAGATGAGGGCTCAGCCCGTACAAAGCACTTCCTCGGCCTGGGAAAGGGGTGCATCCCATCATCACCCCAACATGGGTGCCTGTGTCCACCGACCAGGTTCAACCACTGGTGGCTAGATAACTGGGCAGAGGGGAGGGCAGATCAAGGGGGTGGGGGCAGAGCCAGTCCCTTGACTGGCACTTCAACTCCCTGCCCTCCGGCATTTCCTGGGTAAGTCAAGGGCCCTGAGACACCCCCCACCCCCCTCAGGGTCTAGTCCAGTCTTCTCTAAACTCCCACCAAGGCTCCTGACCGATGCCCCTTCAGGTCATGGATGCAGTAATGTTCCTGGGATGCTCTCATGGTTTGGGGTCCAAAGGGGAAAAGTACCCCAAAGGAGATCTTTGCCCCGAAACCCTGGTCCGAGGGCTGTGCGTACAGGAGAAAGTGGCCCTGTCCAGCACTTATGAGGCGTCCCTTATGCTCTGGCCCTGCCTTCTCCCGAGGAGCTGCTGCCTCTGTTCTGGCCTCAGGGAGGCTCTAGGTGGGAGCTGGGGAAGGGGCAGTGGGGGACCTGGCCCCCACAGGCAGGGTTCTGGGGACTCTCAGAGAAGAGGAGAGTGGAGAGCAGGACCCAGGGCTGGGAGTGGAGGCATTCCTGGGTGCTGGTTCTGGCCCTCCACTCGCTCGGGAAGCGGGTCTCCTGCAGCCCCTCACGAAGGCCCTTGCCCACTCAGACGCGCTCAGATCGCACCTCTTGGCCTGTTGAGCAAGCAGTCTGGTCCCGTCCAGAATCCCGACCTGGGGCTGCCTGGCCTTTCTGGAAACTCCTCCAGAGCTACCTTTGAGAGAACTCAACCCTGTGCGCCACGCCTCTCCTCTGCCCGAGGTCTGAGCACATGCCACCCCCCCCCCCACCACAGATGAGCACCCCAGCTTGGGGACGCTCTCCCAAAAGGACTGGCCAGCACTCCCTCTTTCCCTAAGGCGACCTCTCCCTTGGCCTGCATGTCCAAGGCTCAGGGACCCACTCTGGGTCCCAGGGAAGACCTTCGCAGACCCAGCCTTGGCTCCAGGCCGGGCAAGGAAGTGAGCTTTGTTGTGACTGGGCATGGTCCGGATTCGTAAACTCGCCTTTCCCACCCGGCTCTCCTTGGCAGGGGAGGCCTCAGCTGGAGAAGCTGCACCCCCCACCCCGT